GGCGGGCAGGGAGCGCCTCACAGATATGTACTTTCCCAGGGGGCTGACTGCATTCCTCAAGACATCCAATACTTTTTTGGAAAGGGCTTTTTTTTTTTACTCCCTCCTCCGTTCGTCCCTACCCCTTTCCCTCTCTCACTCCCCCCCGGCTTTTTTCGGAGGCTCAGCGCTCCCATTCGCTGCTGCCTGCCATTTGACCGTAGATATGACTATATATGGGATGCGATGGGCGAGGTAAGGCGGGGGAGCAATTTGTTCCCATTTCCAAATAGGCAGGACGGGACATTTCGCTGCTACTCCTGGGAGGGGGAAAAAAAAAAGCAGCAAGCCGGAGCCCGGGGAGCGGAGGAGACGGCCGCGCAGGCTGCTCGGGGCGGGCAGGGGGTCCGGGCGACACCAGCCCCGTGCGGGAGCCGTCCCCACCGTGGAAATCAAACTGTTTTAAAGCAGAAAGGTGGCGGAGCCGGCCGCGCTAGGCGGCAGTGGAACACGCGGGGCAGCTGGAGGGGCAGTAAGGGGTTAACCGCATGCACGTACGGAATGAATGCGTTTTAAGACCTTCCCCTCGGCAGCCAGAGGCAGGGGAGGAGGAGGAGGGGGCATCTCTACTGAATAGTCAGGCCGCAGCAAGTGCGGGCGGCGGCGTGCTGGGCCGGCCCGCACAGCGCCGAGCACGAAGACCAGATTTCGCGCCGAGGCCTTGGCCGAGCGGGCAGGGCTGCGGGCAGGGCAAGGCAGAGCACGGCTCCGCCGGGACCCACACCGAGGGGGAAGGGGCTGAGGTGTGACCCAGACCCCCGGGGCCGGTGACCATCGGGGGCACAGGAGGGCTCTCCACTCCTCCCCAGGCGGTGCCGGGGCAGAGCAGAGCTGCCAGCGGCTGCCAATGCTTCCCACGTCTACCGCCCTCCTCTGCAGTACCTCGCTGGGACTTCTGGCTCTGCAGGGAGACATGCCTCGTCGCTGCACATGGAAGGGGTGCAAACACTGAACTGAAAAGACAAGGCAGAGGAGGGTTACAATGCCCCTCAGCTGGGACAGTGGCGGGTCGGCTGCCCTCCTTGGGGTAGCCAGAGCTGCGAGGGATGGAGCCCAGGAGAAGTTGGGACAGAGAAACTGTCTGGAGAGGTGGCTTGCACCCTCCGTCTGCAACACCAGCGAGAGACAAGGCAGCAGAGAGGCAATTAACAAAATAACATATAATTAAGTGGAGACCTATTTTCGCTTCTGGCGGGTCTCTCAGTCTCATGAGCACAGTGAGCAAGACACAACACGCTCTGTCCCCACGACGCACGCTCCCTTATACAGTGCAGAAAGTACACGGACGTGCACAAGCCCCACAGGATTTGGGTTGCACACAGAGAAAATTAAGCAGCTTCTTTGTCTGTGCTCAGTACTTGCAGCAGAAAATTCCTCCCTGGTGCTGTCACTGGATCAGCTGAACTGATGTTACTTTGCAGCAGGAGGAATGTCCTACGGCTTCCGGCCCGCTGTACTTGCCAGGGCAATAAGGGCTAGATTTGCAAAGCAGGCCTTGGAGGCCAGCTCCTGGAGAGCTTAAACAAGCCGCACCATGAAGCTTCAGCTCTACAAGATAGCAAAGCCCCCTGGTCAGGGGTCAGACCAACAGTTATCTTCCCCTACTCCTGAGAAAGGCCATACTCTGAATTCAGCTGTGAACCATACAAAGTTCAGAGAGGCTCGCAACTAGGCGCAGGGCTTCATGTGCATTGCTACTAGAGAGTGCGGAAGACCACTGGCAAAAGAGCAGCTTTCCTTCTGCCTACTTAAAGAAAAGATGATTTCTCACTGCATTCCTTTCTCGCTGTGTTGGTTTAATAACCAAACTCCTATGACAATAACAGTAAAAATTATGAAGTAAAATATTTCTAGAGGGTGAAATTGTCTCTTCTCTATACAGACAATATTGTTCATTCATCCCTATCTATCAGTTCAAAAAAAAAACTGTTTAAACCCATCAAAATATAAACAGCACTGCACTGTCACAGAATGTTTAAAAACACCAGACAACAGAGTATTGAAAAAGTCTGCAGATTTAGTCGCAGCCAACTCTAAAGTGTAGTTTTTCTCTTTGCACTTATCTTGCTTTTACAATATACCCAATTAGAACAGATTAGGACCTTTCTGAGGTAAGTATAGTGAATATTTAAAGTACACTTAGTTACATATTGTTCAACAACCTGACTGCATTGTGAAATGTATCAGTGTGTTTTGTTCCTAGTTTAGGAGAACTTACTCCTCTGTCACCAAAAATTCCTTAAAAAGGGTAGAGTATCATGGCTGGGAATTTACTGAGGTAGCTCTTCTGGCTTTGGGGAAAGCAAATGTCTTGCGAAATTAAACAAACAGTATCCTGTCTGGCTAATTTGGGAGCGGTGCTGATAGGCTCTTAAAGAATTCCTGTGCAGCTCCATTTTTTCTAAAAGAATGTTAGCCATGACATGGGAGCCTCTGGGATACATGAGAAAGTATGAGATAGGCGGAGAAGGAAAGGAACTGAGAAGTTTTTTAAAAAAATACCTGGAGGATGCTATCACCTCCACAGAAAAACAGAATCTTGAGGTTCCACTTACATGAAAATGTCCAATTAATACGCTTTGTTTATATCAAGATGACCCTGTATCCATGGGGCTGAACTGGCTGATGGCGATTTAATTTTTTTTTTCCTCGTAGAGAGAATATGAAAAGTACAGACACGTATAAACATGCTTGCTATACCTTTCAATAACAATTTCAATTGCTTGGAAATTTCTGTTCCAGCTGGCTAAGAAAGATAGGCTTGGAAATCAAATAGCTTGTATAGTCTCTCCCTCTTTAATTGATATGTGAAGAAAGACTGTACAAATTATTTTTGCATACTGAAAAAAGAAGGCAGCACAAACTTTGCTTTTCTGACGTAATACCAATTCTGTAATGTTACTTGTTACCTTTTTTCATTTTTCACAGCTATCTCATCTCTCTCATTGACAAATGGTGCATGAACTTCCTAGCAGTAGTTTTACTTGCTTCTGGGGAATACCTCCTGCACTCGTTTTGAATTCTGTCAATTTAATTGGGCTCTTTAGAAAATCAAGACAGCCAACACAAAGAACCAGAGAAGGATATATTGTTTTTGAAATTCACTAATCCTCCTAGGAGTAGGTAATGTTGCACTTCAGGCTTACTGACAATATGGTATCGTTTCCCAGAGCAAGGCTGGAACCCTTTTATATCATGATGTTTCTATCATGTCATATATCCCTTGACATAGGCAGAAATTTGCCTTGAGAAGGACCTGCTTTTTTGTGCATGGATTGGGCTGGTTGAAGGGAGTTCACACTGTTGATTCTGGTAACAGACAAAAGGGTAGGTGGATATATTCATTTGGAAAAACTTCAAACATACCCTAGGAGTTGCTTTTCCTTTTCTTTTTCTTTTTTTTTTTATATTGTTTTTGAAATTCACTAATCCTCCTAGGAGTAGGTAATGTTGCACTTCAGGCTTACTGACAATATGGTATCGTTTCCCAGAGCAAGGCTGGAACCCTTTTATATCATGATGTTTCTATCATGTCATATATCCCTTGACATAGGCAGAAATTTGCCTTGAGAAGGACCTGCTTTTTTGTGCATGGATTGGGCTGGTTGAAGGGAGTTCACACTGTTGATTCTGGTAACAGACAAAAGGGTAGGTGGATATATTCATTTGGAAAAACTTCAAACATACCCTAGGAGTTGCTTTTCCTTTTCTTTTTCTTCTTTTTTTTTTTCTAAAAGGAATATGCAGGAAATAACACCTAACTTTATACTACAACTGGTTCTGCCAGTTCTATGAAAACATGCCTCTTAAAAGATGATTAAGGATTCAAATTAGGTCAGAGTGAACTCATAGGCCTGTATGTGTCATTTGAAAAGTGGAGTGTTCCCTCACAGAAAGGCAAATATAAATAAAATACAACTTAATTTCTCAAAGGTCTCTGAGACCTCTGGAGCCCTTGTAGAACTGAAGGTTCATTTTGGAGAAAGGGAGCAGCAACATGAGTGTGGCATATCATCAAAAAATAGGAAATTGAAGACATCCGTATTCACCTGGAAAACAAATAAAACAATAGATACTGATGAAATTAGGCAGGTTTTACCACTACAGTTAGTGTATTTCATCCTGTAAGGATAAGAGCTTTGCACTAAGGGAGCTGAGGGACAATATTTCTAAGAGAAGCGTATAAATGGCAAAACTTCCCCTGAGGGAATTGGTCATGTATGCTCCAGCCGTAAGGCAAGAGAAGGCCCTAAAATAGAAGGCAGGAATCCTGACAGTCAGTTCTCTGCACAGCTCAGCAGGCAGCAAATGAGTACAGAAATACCCCTGAACATGCCAGTCATGCTTCATAAATACATGCTGTAACTCTGTAAAAGGTTTTCTGTAACATTTCTAAGGTAACAGTGAAGAGCATTTTAGCTTTTATAATTAAGAACTATGGGATGACTTGTTGGAAAATAAAGCTTTAAATTCTTCCAAAATTATTTTAATAATTTTCCTCTTCAGAACTAGTATGTTTCTGTCCGGTTTGTCATTCAAGAAATTTGTGAACTCCTTAAGGGTAGAAGTATTTATAGTACAGTCTTCTGCACCTGCTCTGATCTATAATCCAAGGGTCTACTCAGATACCACACCAAATGCTAAGAAGCTCATGACCTAACTCATGACCTAAGATCTTAAAATAGCTCTGAGAAGGTTTTTTTTTTTTGTCTTTTTTTTTT